GAGGGAAAATGAATATGAAATACATACATGTATGAATGACATTAGTGATACAGAAAAATATTTGAATGGTCACAACATATTTCAGATGAATGTGTAACAATACTTGGAGTTAAATCAGAGTAGTAACATTTATAGTAATGCATTATGATTTAGTTTACATAATTCTCCTCCCGTATTATTTGTAAGATTTAATTTTTGAACAACTATTAGAACAAAACTTGGGGAATCCTTCTCAACAAGTCTCCAACAAAGCAACAATGAACAATTTATCTCATCTGTCACAAAGTGACAAGGTGAGCTTTTGTGATCACAATTCTTCCAGCGTCCTTCCGTAAAGAATAACCTTTAATGACATCATAACAATATTCAAACTACATGGGATGATTTTCTATATTTGGTAGAAGACCCCTATAGATTTTGGGGTCACAAGGTCAAAGTCACTATAACTTTAAAAGTGAAAACAGTTTCCACAACATAACTTATTTCTATTTGGTCCAGTGTTCAAACTTCATAGGATGATTGTCCATATTGGGTAGAACACCCCTATTGATTTTGGGGTCACAAGGTCAAAGCTCAAGCAGAGCTGCATTACTGGTACTGGTACTGGTACTGCAGTACGTACTGCAGCGATTTTGCAAGTACTGGTACTGATACTGAATTACTCTTACAAAATTTTGCTACTACTGGTACTGGTACTGCATTACTGTCTTAAAAAGTGGTACTGCTACTGCATTACCCAGTACTTTTGGTTTTGATAAAATTAAAAATAACATCAATTTTTCTCATAAAATAAAGCTGTAAATTACATTAACTATATTTTATTTTTGTGAAAAAGTAAGTTATCAAATCTAAAGATAATTTGCTGCAATATTCCTTCAAATGTTAATATGGTATTCATCATAAAAAGCACCAAAGACTTTAAAGTAAAAATTAAATTAAGATAAACAGACTCAATAACTCTTTACCCTAAAATATCCTTATTAAAATATTTTATTACTTTGTATTTACTAGTAAAAGAGCAAAATTAACACTAATTAATTTCTTCTATTCTAAAAAATCCCATCTCAAGTCAAAAAAGTGATATTGTTAGCACCATAAAAAGTTGTTATTAGTCCCCTACCGGTTTACCGGAGGGGACTTTAGGTTTACCCTCCGTCCGTCTGTCCGTCTGTCCGTCCGTCAGTCCGTCTGTCCGTCCGTCAGTCCGTCCGTCCACAAAACTGGATCCCGCGATAACGCAAAAAGTACTGAAAATATTTTAATGAAACTTGATATATGGATAGCTGGCAGTATGGAGATTATGCACGTCTTTTTCTTTTCTTCCTATGTTGAAAATTCTGGTTGCTATGGCAACAAATAGACTGAAAATATGGCAAATTTTACACATAATCTGGATCCCGCGATTACGCAAAAAGTACTGAAAATATTTTAATGAAACTTGATATATGGATAGCTGGCAGTATGGAGATTATGCACGTCTTTTTCTTTTCTTCCTAAGTTGAAAATTCTGGTTGCTATGGCAACAAATAGACTGAAAATATGGCAAATTTTACACATAATCTGGATCCCGCGATTACGCAAAAAGTACTGAAAATATTTTTATGAAACTTGATATATGGATAGATGGCAGTATGGAGATTATGCACGTCTTTTTCTTTTTTTCCTATGTTGAAAATTCTGGTTGCTATGGCAACAAATAGACTGAAAATATGGCAAATTTTACACATAACCTGGATCCAGTGATAACACAAAAAGTACTGAAAATATGTTTATGAAACTTGACATATGGGTAGATGGCAGTATGGAAATTATGCACATCCTTTCCTTATCTTCCTATGTTGAAAATTCTGGTTGCTATGGCAACAAATAGACTGAATTTCAAGATTTCTGATTCTAGTTTTTAAGTTTTTTCACTATAAGTTCTTTATTTCTTAAGGTATTTTTCTTCAAACTTTAAATATAAATTGCTTGTCATCAACCACATCATATGTGACAAGGTTTACAACTCTAGCACAAAATTTATCAGAATTACGTCCCTTGAACTTAAAATTTTCATGAAAAAAAACATTGTTTTTTTTAATAACTTCTTTTTCTGAATGTATCTACTTCAAACTTCATATAAATGTTTCTTATTATCACTCAACATTTGTGAGTGTTCAATACTCTAGCAAGACTATTTCCAGAATTATGCCCCTTTTGAACTTAGACTTTTTTTTGAGAAATTGGTAATTTTTACTCCAACTTCTTCAATCGTGATAGGATTTTAAAAATGTTATATTTTGATAACAGGGATGTTTAAAAAATAACTTTAGAGTGTCCTTCAGTCTGTCTGTCTGAACATAAAAACTGTTTCCTGTGATCACTTTTAAAGAACTTTTTCAAGAAATTAGGAACCTAAGTGAATGGCCAATGGCCCTTCAAAATGTTGCTTGGGCTCTTACCGGTAGGGGACTTATGGATTGCTTGCAATACTATGATAATTGCTTGTTTACTTTGGTATAAATTGAACAGAGGTGTGAAAGGCAACAAAAGACTGTTGTGTTTTAAATGAAAGATGTTTGCATTGTATTTATACAGTTGACTTGTTACTAAACAATTAGATATGACATGAATATAATTATGTTGTAAATATTGTTTGTAAAATGTATGTTAAAGTAAATATTGTTTGTAAAAAGTATGTTAAAACTTTAAGCAGCATGCCTCCAGATTCATCCTAATTTTCATGAAAATTTTGAAAATGTATTTAAAGGTAAAATATTGTTAAATGAACAAAGAAAGTACTTGACACATTACAATCGGCACTTAAAATCCACATAAATTACCAAAAAGAGGTCAAAACATGCATAAATAGCCCCTACTGTGTTAGTAACGCAGTAGAAATATAGTAATAAATACTACAAAATACAGTCATTAGTTGCACATAAGATATAAATTATCACTTGAATCTTTAATTTGTTAAATTTTCTCAAAGTTTTAGTAATTTTTTTCCAAGTTTAATTTTCTTGAAATATTTTGGGTCATCTGGAGGTATGCAGCTTTTAAGTAAATTATGATTTTATTTCTTTGCTGAATAATATTTGCAATTATTTGTTTGACACTGTATTTATTCAAACTTTGATGAATATATAAAAGTAATGGTACTGATACTTAATTACTTCACCAAAAAAAGTACTGGTACTGCAGTACCGAGCTAAAATCTAGTACTGGTACTGGTAATGGTACTGCATAATTTGCCAAGTACTGGTACTGGTACTTAAGTACTACACCCTTGGTACTGATGCAGCTCTGAGCTCAAGGTCGCGATTTCCTCAAAACTGAAAACAGTTTCCAGACCATAACTAAAGTTCCATTTGGCCCACAATATTTAAACTTTATAGGATGGTTACTGTTTGAAAGAGGTAATACTTTATTTAATTTATGTAATGTCTTACAAATGCTTCATCCTTACTTAAAAAAAACACTTTCGGGCTAATATAGTATTGACCTTAACGTAAAATGTCTTGAATTTTTCTGTAAGTGTCTATAACTTAATTTTTGAATGAATCTTCTTCTTCATCAAGGCCATTATTAATGTTGCTAATATTTATTAAAAATATTAAATAAATGTTGTTTTTTTTATATGATTCATACTTGGAATAACAACAAGTATGACTAGACAGACTTGAGAAAAAAAGGAAACCTTTTTTTTTCCTTTTTAATTCTACAATTTTTTTTCCTTTTTGACATGTTTTTTGAATATTTATTAAACTGTTAATTTGTTTGCTAAAAATAGCGTAAAAAAGACTCTTATCCAGTTTTATTATGGCATAAAGTGCATATGTGCAAGTGAGATGTACACTATTCATTAATTGGACTGTATAAATAGAAACACTGAATTGCACAAACATACTGGAGCATAACTTGGAGGTTGCAATTTACTGCTGTTGCAAATGACAACACTGTGTACTTGCAAATGGAAAGAGAAAAAAAGAGAAATACTAAAAAGTACGTGTACTACAACTTTATTTCAGAATTATACATGAGACAAAATAAAGAAATCATTATTTGTTATCTGTTTATCTATTAGTTATTAGTATTATGTATTTCTTGTAGAAGTAATAATTATGTTTGCAATTATTTTTTTATCTCTAAATCATTAATTATGTTTACTCTTTCACAACAAACCTGTTAAAGAAAATTATCAACATTTTTATTGAAGAAAATATTCTAATTGATGTTTTTTTTATAGCAAACTGTATATTTCCTGCATCATGGTTGCATGAACTAAAAAAGACGTGAAAGAAATAATTTTGCATAAACATATTGTTCCTTTTTACAGTTTTATAATAAAAATGCTCAATAAAATATTTGACTATTCTGAATGTGTATTCAATATTTTGTTATATTGTGGGTGTAAACATTTCAGTCATACACTTTGATGTCCCAAGGAATATTCTTGATAAGTAAAATGAACTTAAAAAACAGTGTCTTGTGCTAGTTTTCAACATCTGTGACAAGTATTTTCAAAACATACAGATGATTGACCAGGCACAAAAAATGTACATATGAGCCGCGTCATGACAAAACCAACATAACGGGTTTGCGACCAGCATGGATACAGACCAGCCTGCGCATCCGCGCAGTCTGATCAGGATCCATGCTGTTCGCTTACCAACTCTTTTAAAGTAGAGAAACTGATAGCAAACAGCATGGATCCTGATCAGACTGCGCAGATGCGCAGGCTGGTCTGGATCCATGCTGGTTGCAAACCCATTATGTTGGTTTTGTCGTGACGCGGCTCATATTGGTATTTTACCTCCATACATGGTTTTGCCTCTATCATGATGACTTTACATAGAACAGAAGTTATGAGCCTAAATATTTCGAATGGACATAGTTATTTTTATACCCTTGTAGGCATGAAACAAAGCCCATGAAAGTAACCTAAGACATTTATTTTTGAAAATCATATAAATCTTCTTCTTACTTATGGTAAACATGTAGCAGTATAGAAGTTTAAATGTCTTCTGAGTACAATGTAAATGAAAGTGTCCAATACATAAAAGGGAGTTGTGACCTGGAGGTTTTGGTGTCAACCCCTCACCTTAGGAGCAGGAGTTCAAACCGACTTTGTTAATGGTTATGTTTCTTCATAGACAACAAATTGAACTTGAGTTACCAAAATGAGCTTCATGCTTTCATCATAATGCAGCTTATATAAATTTTAAATATGTTTATTAACATATTGTCAGAACCAACAGGTACTGATTTAGCTGTACTACATAAAAAATGATTTAGAAAATAACATCAGAAAGAATAAAACTGACTTCATAAATGTGAACCCAAGATTGTTTCAATTCAGTTGACACAAACTCAAGCTGATTTGATAATCTTTTAACATGCATATAAGTTTTGTACTACCTATAACAACAGGTTTTTAATTTCAAACAAGTCTTGATGGTATGAAACCAGTATACTGCCCAAAGGCATCCGGGTATTTGTCTCTTATAGACCATACACTACATGAAGGTATAACCCTCCTGTCACCTACACTCAAACGTCCATGTTGCCAAAGTACATATTGTCTATATGCAGCATGTCTGTTGGCCTTTCTGAGATCAGCCTCATCATCTATCACGAGGACATCCCTCCTGTACATGCGTTGTAATGCAAGGACCGCCTCGTCCAAAATGAGAACTCTGAAATCCTGGAAGAAACAATACATACTTGTTCATTATAGTGATAGGCAATAACCCTGAAATTCGATGCACTTATTTTCAATAACCTATACTCAAAGAATTAAAATTTGATCATTGAAAACATCACCAAGCTGCAGCTTTGTGGAAAAGGTAAAATCTGTTTGTCCATTTTAAACCAAACGGGAAGTGACATCATGTTTTTATGACTTCATAGTTACATGATGTCATTTTATTTGGTGCCAAAAATGTTACTATGGTTTGTATTATTTCTGTTGGTGTAGTTTCATTTATATACATAAAGAGGTTTTACATTTACAAAACTATTTTCTTTACAAACTGAACATCCCTCGTACCATTACTTAACTTATTTTACAGTTGTTGGATTGTCACCTTTTTCTTCTGTAATAAAGGTAGAGTCCAAAATATAATGAAATGATTTTCTGGATTTATAATGAAAATGCTTGTTGTAATTGCAGTGTTTGCACTACTTACAACAACAACAAAAAAAAATCACTTAAAATACTATTATTTATGAATGAAGGTACAAGTACTTACTGGTAATAATGATACACACTGCTCTGGCATCATGCCACAACATAGTTTTTCATCTTCGGTTGGCATCTCTCTGCAGTGATTGCAGGTACACCAATCTGGTGTGTCATTTCCAGCTGGGGGATGAAAACCACCAAACTGAGACTCTTGTGGTTCAAATACATCAAGAATCAAGGAAGGGCTCTTTTCCATTGCCTCCACGAGCAACTCCCTCATCCTCTCTTTTGACATTTCATCCAAAGCATTCTGAAAAATGAAAAACATTGTGAATTACGAAAAGATAAGATTTAAAACAATTACAATTTGTATGGATATACAATTTGTATTTCGAAATTGTAACTTTACAAATAAATATTCTATTCCTGCAATTTTACAAAAAAGTCATTAAGGAGGTTAACAATGTGACATAAAAAAATGTTTTGTGAATTCAACTCTCTGGCAGTAAAATCACACTATATATCAAAATTACCATGAAGCGTTCCTTTCTTGTCTCAAGAATATGAAGAGCAACATCTGCTCTAGTCTCACTTGTTCCTGTTTGCCCTCGTCCTCTCCCCCTTGCCCTTCCTTTCCCTCTTCCTTTACCCTGACCTCTTCCTCGACCTCTACCTCTGGGTGCTCTTCCTCTGTTACCTCTTCCCCTTGCACTTGGAAACCCTCTGTCTGATGGGACAGAAAGTTCTGATCCAGTAGAAGACTTAAAACAAAAAAACTTTAAGTCATCAATGCCATCTTAAAAATACCCATGACTGGTATAATGTGTATGCGTGGTTACTGATATTAAAACCATTAGGTAAAATATGCTAAATTTTGGCAAATCATATAATGATATGTGTGTAGCAAGAGAGGTAAAGAGGTTATGAGTTAGACTGCACACATCAATTGAAATACACAATCAAGTAAGTAATTTTCAATTGTCTCAAAAAGAGGAAGGCTTTACAAATACCTTGATTAAAAATTAGAAAAAAAGATTTTTTATTTATAACAAATCAGCCCTTAACCTATATTATACATAAAACATTATAGAAGGGGTGAGGTTTTTTTTGTTTAAATACTTTTTACTTGTTTTCAACTTCAGATACAGGCAGAGCTGCATCAGTACTTGGGGTGTAGTACTTAAGTACCAGTGAGTACCAGTACTTGCCAAGTTAGCGGTATCAGTACAAGTACTAGTACTAGATTTTAGCTTGGTACTGCAGTACCAGTACTTTTTTTAGGAAGTAATTAAGTACCAGTACCAGTATTTCTATATATGATCAGGGTAGTTTGAATAAATACACAGTGTCAAACAGAAATAACGTATTATGCATATTCACGTTTTTCAATGTTATGTTTTTTTAAACAACTATTTCCATTTCACATGTGTACACTTCAAATAAAATTATGGGTTGTGTTCCCAAAATACTGGGAAAAAATCCTGCAAGTTACAATATATTGGCTAGTTAATAGCCTCAACACCGTAGGATTTTGAAGTACCATACCAATTAAAACTAAGATGTACAGGCAAATCTTCATGTATGAAGGCTACTATTTCTTAAATTCAGAAACCTTAAGTTTAGTTTTCAGGGATAGGATTAGGACATGTTCTATTTTGAAAATCTTGTCATACAGATTTCTACAGACCTCCCACAAAGGCAAGTAACAGTTTACCAAATTATCTCCTGATAATGGGGGTAATGAATGAAATACACAACAATTAGGGCTTAAAGGTAAGCATAGTAGTAAGATGGGGTTAAATGATGTTGAAAAACTCTTCCGGGGGCCCAAAGTTGTGTTAGGTTCGAATCCCAAATTATTTCGAAAAATGATTATGTCACAGTACCTACCCAGCAAACACCCGACGTTGACCCAACGTTGGATCAACGTTGAATTTTGGTCGCGACGTCGGTGACCTTCATACAACGTCAAATCGACGTTGAATCCCCGACGTCTAACAGACGTTGCATTTTGACGTCGACTCGACGTCGGGTTTTGGTCGGTAATCTGACAATAGGTAAATTTAATTTATGAAACCAATATATATATAAATGAAAGCATAAACAGCGAGAATTTTAAGTTTAAGTTTAGAAAGGGAACATTATATATTTATTTTCTCCATCAAAACAACAGTATCACGTGGGTGGCTAACGTACGATATTCGATAGGTGGCGCTCTGTAAACGGATAGTCGCAGATCAGTATGAAATATATTTGCTCTATTTTCGTTTAAATAATATCTTATCTCCTCGAATTAGTCTAAGAAGTGTTTATATAATTTACAATGAAGTTGTTATCATTTTTGAGGGCTTCATTTTATAGTGGTAAATAATTTAGTAAATTCGAATTTGCGACTTATCGGATTTGAAATTCAATTGTATTGGCGGACAAAAAACGACGGGTTGACAGACAAAGTTGTGTATTCCAAACAAAAGAAAAAGGTAGGCAAACATTATATATTGTTTTTCAATGCTAATTTACCGCATGTTTGCATGGATTCGATGGTTATTTGATCATTGAAATGTTTGACTGGTAAAACTTAATGTCACGTGATTTCGCGAGATAAATATTTTTGTTTCCACGTAAGAACACTTTATCATTTGCTATAGAACAGTCTGTATAATCGGATCATTTTTCCCACACTATATCGCCATGCCAAATAAATGCACAATCAATGGTAGGAAATATCCTAGCAATTGAAATCAATAAAAAGTTAAATGCAGTACGTAAGACTCTTAATATTCAAATGCTGGTAAATGAAAATTCCTCTTATTTCTTATCAACATGAATTTCACTTATATGAGGGGCCAGTCATTTACACATGTATCAGATGCAGTTTGATTTTGATATCTGTGTAGTTGTTAAACTACTCGTTGTTAATTGTAGTACTTTACCCATACTGTAAGCATACCATGTGTTTCTTATATTATGATAATGATTCATGGCATTTGATACATATGTAAATGATACGACTTTTGTAAGATATATCTGAAAGCACATAGTATTTGACTAGCTATCTTTTTATTAATGTAATCAAACAACATATTATCAATCAGAAAACACATTATCATAGTTATAAATCAATAAAAGTAATAGTTTGTTAATTAGCCTGCTTATCAACAAGTTGTATGCTCGTATCATAAAACGTTTTTACACTAAGCCAGTCTGTCCTATATACACTTAGCAGACCAGATCATGCTGGGCAGAGATGATATCTATAAAAATGACAGTAACATGTGAATTTCTTTGATGTTGTATGAGCATTTGTACAAAGTACTTTGAATATAAAAAATAACAATATCAATTTTTGCGGGAGTAGAATTAATTTGGTATTTGTTATATCAGTTTTTCATGCGCTTATGAGTTAACTAAGATTAATAGTAATTTGATTTTGCCTATTGTATTAGACAAACATCCTTTCACCACATGGTTAAATTCTAAAACGATTATATTTCGTCTTTCAGATTGTGAAAAGTATAATAATTCAACATGTGTCAAAAGTTCATGAGGAAGATGAAAATATTTAGAGGAAAAAGAAAAATGAAAACCTACCAAGATTTTGTGACAGGTATATTTCAAAATATTATATAGAAAATACAGTGATCTTATTACCCTTGATTTTATAATGAAATTCTTCACGAAGCCATTTTTATCAAAATTAATAGATATATACAGTAGGTACACGAAACTACATGGTTTAAACTAAATTAAAAATAATAAGTATCTTTTTAAGTAGTTGGAGTGTTTTGTCAGAATTTCGTTTAATTATAATATGTAAAAGTGATTTATTTCTTGCACTTGTAACTGATTATTTTATTTTTTTTATTTTCAGAAAGTGTGATGAGATCTTAGGTTGCAGACGGTAATGATACGCTTAAAGTATGCCCCAGATCGACATAGTGGAGGAGGACGAAAGAAGCTAGAATACTAATGAAGATACATATGAACATTGCTATTTATAATTATAACAAAATATTCAGAATATTGTTCCATTTAACATTCAGATCTATATTTAGTTATAAAATACAACTTTTTAGACAAATATACATTTAGTGAGTTGGATAGATGATTGAAAAATCCCAAACTCAGAGTGATCAGTTCAGTGGTGATATAAGAAAAAACACATGCATGGATGTTTGCTATATAAAATGTCAGTGTTAATATTCAAGAAGGATTTTGTTTAACATGCTTAATTAATACATGAAGCGTTATTAAAGTACATACCGTCAAGTTAAATAGTTTCAAAAAATATTATGTAAATCTTGCATTTGTTATATATAGTACCACATTTCTTGTTTTGTACTTGTGATTCCGAGTATAAAATAAATTGCTAAAATCATAAGAATGCTTATTTTTAACCCTATTAAAGAGCTTTAAAATGAAAAAAATATCATATTCCAAAAGTTTTGAATGAGGTTAAATCATGGTTAGAAAATTTGGTCAGATAAGGTTGGCATATGGTCAGATAATGGTCAGAAAAGGTTGGATTATGGTCAGAAAAAGGTTTGATTATGTCCCAATAATGGTCAGAAAAGGTTGGATTATGGTCAGAAACGGTTGGATTATGGTCAGAAAAGGTTGGATAAAGGTCATTTTATGACGTTGTATAGACGTCGGTTTCTGACGTCTAAAAAACTTTCAAATCCAACCTTCTGCCAACGTTTACCCAACGTCAGGGTCTAACGTCAGTACAACGTTGGTACAACGTCTTTTGTTTGCTGGGTATTGAACTGTTTTCTAATTAGGGGAGAGGAGGTAGTTTGTAGGTGGCCAGATAGCTTAGTCAGTAGAGCTGCAGTACGGTTTTCCGAGGGTCCCAGGTTTGAGTCTCGGTCAGGCTTCACATTTAAAAAAAAAATTTTTTTTAATCATAAATGGAGGTGTTTCAATCATTACTCATGGTGAAAAAAGTATTTAGTGAGTAAAGTATGTAAAGGATCAATAAGGAGGGATCCTTTTTAGTGAAACCTCAGATGATTCCTACAGTGTAGAATTACTGTCTGAATGCAAGTGTTGTATTGCTTTGAAAATTGTACATCTTATCTCTAATTGTTGTACACCTAAATCCTACCGTTAAGGCCCTTACTTACCTGAACTTCACTGATCGAAATTAGCAAGTTCTAGTAATTGCAAGTTTATATAAAAAAATTTCATTTGTATTGACTTGCAAAACTCGATATCGTGAATCGCTTATCTCATGTTTGATAATATTATAAAACAAATAGCATTGCGCGAACATCTCATTTAAATAGTGTAGGCCTAACCAAATAAACAGATAAACTTGTGCAAGTTGTATCACTATCAAAGAATTTGTGATTGTTACGAAACATTCAGCTACATAAATAATTATATGTACCAAATCATCTTTATCTGTATACAGTACAGCAAAGTAAAGGATTCATTTACTTTGTGTAAACCATCACAAATTCTTTAAAACTTTTAAACAATGAGGATAACAAGTAAGAAAACTACTAACCGACGACGTAGATGACATGTTGTTTTGATTTTTTTGCGGAAGTGTGCTCTTCAGTCTGACGTCATCATTTTCTGCGTGTAAGCGTAAATATACGGAGATTCTCCGGAAAGACTCGTAATATTGACGAAGCTATATTTGGGTTAAATTTTGTAAACAATGTTGTGGAATGTATGAATGATAATATATTAATTCGTGGCGTTGCAGAGCTGCTAATCTCGATGATTGTATACACAATCACTAGTTACACATGTCTGAATCGCATATTTTACTCTTTTAACGATGAAAAAAATGGTTTTGCTGAGAGCTAACGTGCCTTTAAAGGGAGAGAATTTTCAAGCCTTTCAGAGTTCCTCACTGCAAAGTATAATATTTGGAATGTCTCCAGATTTTCCCTAATTATATAAGACAATGGCATTCATTTGTGATTGTTAAGTTAATCGGGGGTCTTTCAAACAGAAATTCTATCTTAAATTCATATCTTTAGTGGCCATAAGACTTTAACAACGTCTTTAAGACTTAAAGAAATAAGCTTAACTTATTTTTCGGTTAACTTTATTTAGCATATGATTTCTATAAAAGTATTGCAGTTCCAAATTAACCCGTGATTTCAGGTTGGTTTACTGCACTGCAAGGGCATTTACTTTTTGTGCACTCGTAACCTCCTTGGTAGTTCCCAATAGAATGACAGTAACACGTGTTACATCCATCACGTGTCAACCACTGGGTCTGATGTCTGTACCACCCACCATTGTACAAGCATTCCCCGTATATGGGCTCTTTACTTGGCGTTGCTGGAAATATAAAAGTCAACACACTTTGAAGAACATAGGCCTAGTGGTTTAAGGTGCCTGCTTTTCCATCCACATTATCTTGGGTCAAATCATAGCTTCTCAGCTATTATTTACAAGAGTTTATTTATAACTTCTTATCCGAAGTTTGACGAAAAGGGCATTGAAGGACTTATTTTACAGTATTTATGACCATTTTCTACTGCGTGACGAACGCAGTACGGGCAATTTTTGGTTATTTTTTAAACTTTTATATTGGACTGAACGTGCCGTTTGCAATTCAAAGACAATAATCTATTTTTAATACATTTTCACGAAAATAAGCATGAATATGGAGGCGTGCTGCATTAAATTATCCACTCCACATGCTTCTATTTTTAGAACGTTCAATAAAAACACACCATACTTTCGAATTGCAAAGGTCGAACACGATATGTTAAGGTTTAAATTATATGTACCAAATCCTGCTGAACTGCACGCCTTCATTGTACACTGCATGCCACGTTCTGTACAAAGACACTTGTTACAACCATCTAGTGTAGCAAAGACATCTCCAACTAAATAGATCTTCAAGTTGTACAGGCATGCAGGGTCTCCTGCCTTGGCCACAGTGCCTGTAGAATATAAATAAAATTGTATGTTAAAGGAACTCCACCAAGGTCCATTTGCCTAACAACATTACAATCTGAAACATATCAAGTGAAGTACTTAAGATGGAAAGCTTCTGCAGAAGAGAAAAAGAAAAATACCCAGAGTTAACAAAATACAAAGAAATATACCAATAATTAAAATGAGTATCGACTTTTCGTGCGACTCTCGACCGAATTTGAGTGAAAAGCGTTACAACGCTTTTCATTTTTGGGTCATTTGCACAATAAAAATGAGTTTTTGGAAAAACGGAGAGAGGGAATGACCTAAATATTTTCACACATGCTAGCGGTCCAAATCCTCATTAATCTGTTCACAAATCTCGGATTTTTTTTTTCCAGTCCCGTAACGTCAAAAAACTTCAATAGAGTTCCTTTAACTTTTAATATGTGTGAATATTAACAGTGCCAATATAAAAAAAGACTGTGGGTTAATCAATACAAATTAAAGTTTCACTTTAAAAATATCAGTAATAGGAGAAAAGGGTCAATTCCATGTGCTGTTGTATTATTTCATTAAAACAAAGATGCTAATGCTATAATTATGTACAAAAATGTTTAAACACATGCGAGTAAGTTATTAGTATTTAAATGTTAAACGTAGTTAAAAATTAAATATTTAACCAACTATTTAACGCGCATGTCCCATCTAGACTTCCGTAGCACCGTATGCCAAATCCATGATTGGCACAAACTCCGCACACCTGGTCATCTACCAACATGTCACCCATTGAATACGTGTTTCCGATGGACCCACATGTACACGTTGCTGTTGTTTCTGCTCCCGTTAAAATACAAAAGACATATAACGATTTCAGCTGCGTTACTGATAATGAAAGAGCATTAACGTTACTAATAAAAGAGCAATTACGTTACTAATAATGAAAGAGCATTTACGTTACTTATAATGAAAGAGTATTTACGCAACTGATAATGAAAGCATTTACGTTACTTATAATGAAAGACTGTTTACGTTCTTATAATGAAAGAGCATTTACATACTGATAATGAAAGAGCATTTACGTTACTGATAATGAAAGAGCATTAACGTTACTGACAATGAAAGAGCATTTACGTAACTGACAATGAGAGAGCATTTGCCTTACTGATAATGAAAGAGCATTAACGTTACTGATAATGAAAGAGCATTTACGTTACTAATAATGAAAGAGCATTAACGTAACTGACAATGAGAGAGCATTTACGTTACTAATAATGAAAGAGCAGTTACGTTACTAGCAATGAAAGAGCATTTAGGTTGCTAATAATAAAAGAGCATTTACGTTGCTGATAATGCAAGAACATTTACGTTACTGATAGTGCGAGCATTTACGTTACGGATAATGAAAGAACATTTACGTTTCTGATAATAAAGAGCATTCAAGTTACTAATAATTAAACAGCATTTGGAAGGATTTTCGCTGGTAGAATTACAGTTAAAACTTCGTTTGCTCGAACTCGGATCGTTCGAATACCTCCCTTCACTCGAACCTCTCGTTCGGTTCCGAACTCCTGTATTTATATCATTCTAAATTGGATCGTTTATACAACGATCACCTGAACTCGATTCAGTAGAAGAATAATTACTGTTATACCTTTTTATGCCCCCACAAAGTGGGGTGCATATAGCGTTGCACTTGTCCGTCCGTCTGTCCGTCCATCCGTCCGAACGCCCTTTGTTGATTTTTTCACTATATAATATGTAGAAATTTTGTGAACGCAACTCTTCTTAAACCGAATGGCAGATTTTGCTTAAACTTCCAGGGATGAACAACCTTAATGTGTAGATGGTAGTAAAGGAAGGAATTTTTGCTGCGACCAAATTATCAGAATTATGGCCCTTTGTTGATTTTTTCACTGTATACCATATAGAAATTTGTGAACGCAACTCCTCTTAAACCGGATGGCAGATTTTGCTTTAACTTGCAGGGACGAACAACCTTAATGTGTAGATGGAAGTAAAGGAAGGAATTTTTGCTGCGACCAAATTTAATTGAATTATGGCCCTTTGTTGATTTTTTCACTATATACCATATTTATGTATTGTCCAGGTCAAGCAAATATAACTGGCAAGACGAACTTGTTTGGTATGAGATAAAACACAACACTTAGGTTGAATGAAATAGGGCATTTATTAAATGCCATAAATGACAAATGTTACATAATAACAAACATGACAAATGTTACATAATAACAAATATGGCATGTACATATTTGTATCGAAATAACCAAACTGGGAGGTAAAAACCGCCGTACCTACATAAATATAATAAAATGGATTGCTGATCAAAAACAATTGACCAGAAAAATAAATAAATATTTTCCAAATCGTGGTCGACTCGCCCAGGAAAAACCATAGTTTGGAAACCTGTGCCCTTTTATCTTGTGTCTAGTACCACTTGATGTAGGGCTCCATCCTTGGAAAATAGTTTAAACATTCTATACATTAAAAAGTGTATAACATATGACTAGATCATAAGTATTTATGACAACAAATAGAAAAATATTTGAAAGCGATAATATAACATCGACTAGTTTTATAAATATTTGCATGAACAATATACATAATATTATATATATATATAGTGTATCTCATGAATAGTTGCACAAATAATTGAGATAAACAACAAGTGAAACAACTGATTCATTAAGAATAAATGAAATGGTATTTATATCAACATCAAAAATTGAAAGAGGAGGATGGAGTTGGAGGAGGTGGATTTTAGTAAACAGAAAGGCGAGAATCATTCCTCGCCAAAATTATATCTTTGTGATAGATCTAATGTAATCATTGGTTAATTAACATCACATGATTTAAGTCTTGATATCAATTGGCTAAGACGTACTTAGCTAAAACCTGACCCGTTACGGCTAAAACCTGACCCGTAATATTCTGTACAGTAATGAGTATAAGGACAGAACAATGACATAAATTATTTTATGTGGGCATAAAATCTATTTTATGTATTGTCCAGGTCAAGCAAATATAACTGGCAAGACGAACTTGTTTGGTATGAGATAAAACACAACACTTAGGTTGAATGAAATAGGGCATTTATTAAATGCCATAAATGACAAATGTTACATAATAACAAACATGACAAATGTTACATAATAACAAAATATGGCATGTACATATTTTGTATCGAAATAACCAAACTGGGAGGTAAAAACCGCCACAAAGGGAACCTTCCGCCACCCAGGGAGACTTGACTAGGGATGAGCTTGACCTGTAATAAGGATTGAAACAGAGGGGCTTAATTTGCCGAAGTTACCATTAATTTAATCAAGTCATGTTAGGACAAAAATGTAACGACAAATCATATATCTAATGACAATATAATAATATGTTT